TCTCCACTTCTGTTCAACATAGTTCTCGAAACACTGGCCAGAGCAATTAGACAGACGAAAGAAATTAAAGGCATCAAAATAGGAAAAGAAGAACTTAAATTATCAGTATTTGCAGATGATATGATTCTATACCTAGCAGACCCAAAAGGGTCTACAAAGAAACTATTAGAGCTAATAAATGAATTCAGCAAAGTGGCAGGATATAAAATCAACATGCATAAATCAAAGGCATTCCTGTATTTCAGCGACAAATCCTCTGAAATGGAAATGAGGACAACCACTCCATTCAAAATATCTTCAAAAAAAATAAAATACTTGGGAATCAACCTAACAAAAGAGGTGAAAGACTTATACAATGAAAATTACAGAACCCTAAAGCGAGAAATAGAAGAAGATCTTAGAAGATGGAAAAATATACCCTGTTCATGGATAGGCAGAACTAACATCATCAAAATGGCGATATTACCAAAAGTTCTCTATAGGTTTAATGCAATGCCAATCAAAATCCCAACGGCATTTCTTGTAGAAATAGAGAAAGCAATCATGAAATTCATATGGAAAAATAAAAGACCCAGAATAGCAAAAACAATGCTAAGCAGGAAGTGTGAATCAGGCGGTATAGCGATACCAGACTTCAAACTATACTACAGAGCAATAGTAACAAAAACAGTATGGTACTGGTACCAAAACAGGCGGGTGGACCAATGGTACAGAATAGAGGACACAGAAACCAATCCACAAAACTACAACTATCTTATATTTGATAAAGGGGCTAAAAGCATGCAATGGAGGAAGGATAGCATCTTCAACAAATGGTGCTGGGAAAACTGGAAATCCATATGCAACAAAATGAAACTGAATCCCTTTCTCTCGCCATGCACAAAAGTGAATTCAAAATGGATCAAGGAGCTTGATATCAAATCAGAGACGCGCCGTCTGATAGAAGAAAAAGTTGGCTACGATCTACAGTCGGTGGGGTCGGGCTCCAAATTCCTCAATAGGACACCCATAGTACAAAAGTTAATAACTAGAATCAACAAATGGGACTTACTCATACTAAAAAGTTTTTTCTCAGCCAAAGAAACAATAAGAGAAGTAAATAGGGAGCCTACACCCTGGGAACAAATTTTTACTCCTCACACTTCAGATAGAGCCCTAATATCCAGAGTATACAAAGAACTCAAAAAATTAGAAAATAAGAGAACAAACAACCCAATCAACAAATGGGCCAAGGACCTGAACAGACACTTCTCAGAGGAGGACATACAGTCAATCAACAAGTACATGAAAAAATGCTCACCATCTCTAGCTGTCAGAGAAATGCAAATCAAAACCACCCTAAGATACCATCTCACTCCAGTAAGATTGGCAGCCATTATGAAGTCAAACAACAACAAGTGCTGGTGAGGATGTGGGGAAAAGGGTACACTTGTACATTGCTGGTGGGACTGCAGATTGGTGCAGCCAATTTGGAAAGCAGTATGGAGATTTCTTGGAAAGCTGGGAATGGAGCCACCATTTGACCCAGCTATTCCCCTTCTTGGTCTATTCCCTAAAGACCTAAAAAGAGCATGCTACAGGGACACTGCTACATCGATGTTCATAGCAGCACAGTTCACAATAGCAAGACTGTGGAACCAACCTAGATGCCCTTCAATAGACGAATGGATAAAAAAAATGTGGCATTTATACACAATGGAGTATTACTCTGCATTAAAAAAATGACAAAATCATAGAATTTACAGGGAAATGGATGGCATTAGAGCAGATTATGCTAAGTGAAGCTAGCCAATCCATAAAAAACAAATGCCAAATGTCTTCTTTGATATAAGGAGAGTAACTAAGATCAGAGTAGGGACGAAGAGCAGGAGAAGAAGATTAACATTTAACAGGGATGAGAGGTGGGAGGGAAAGGGAGAGAGAAGGGAAATTGCATGGTAATGGAAGGAGACCCTCAGGGTTATACAGTGGAGGAGGTAGAGAGAGAGGAGGGGAGGGGAGGGGAGAGGTGGGGAGGGGGGAGGGTGGAGGATGGGAAAGGCAGCGGAGCACAACAGACACTAGTATGGCAATATGTAAATCAATGGATGTGTAACTGATGTGATTCTGCAATCTGTGTATGGGGTGAAGGTGGGAGTTCATAACCCACTTGAATCAAAGTGTGGAATGTGACATGTCAAGAAATTTGTAATGTTTTGAACAACCCACAATAAAAAATTAAAAAAAAAAAGAAATTATTTACTTTTCTCATTTAAAAATATTTGCCAAACCTGAAACGTGTGTATCATTCTGGTTGCTGAGCCATAAGAAATAAATAACAGCTGGGAAATATGAAGAAGAGCAACCACAGTAATAAGTAAGTGGTTGTTTTCATACTATAAAATATATATGTATTTTATACTAAATATATAAAAATATATATTATATATACATATTTTATATCTACCAATCTATCTATATATATATATATGTATATATATATATCGATAGATAGACTGGGGATTGAAACCAGGTCTTGCTAAATTGCTAAAATGTGGAGGCTGGCTTTGAACTTGTAATCCTCTGCTTTGGCCTCCCAAGTCACTCAGATTATAGGCATGTGCCACCATGCCTGGCTTTCAAATTTTTTAAAAGACTTTTTGTTAAAATTCTTAGAATTCTATATTCTTAAGAGACTCTGATTGATCAAGTATTACAAATTAGATGTGTCTGCAGGTGGTATAATACTTCAGTGGTGTGATATTCAGATAGAATTTGCCTTGGGAATCCAAAATCACTGAAGTTCTGCCATTGATAAGTTACGCATTCCTGTGAAGTCCTTGAGGAAAAAACATTGACCCAGGAGGCATGGCAGTAAGATGTAAAGAACCACTGTATTTCCAGTTGGCACTTCAGACACAATTTCCTTTTAGACGTCTATGAATGAGCTAGGAGAGATTCTATAAAGAACTTCCTTTGTCTAAGTTAGTTTAGACTCAATGGCCCAAAAAACCAAATTAGACAGAAAGCAGATAAAGCATTACAACTACCATTTCAAATTTTTAAACCTGAATATATCAAAGGGAAGAGTAGTCTAGGTTGCTGAGCAGCCAGAGAAGGGTATGAGTCTGCACCAGTGTTTATAGCAATTGTCTTGACATGCATTTGCTCTCTGAGTTAACAGTCTGGTTTGAGTCATCAAGGGTAAATGAGGTCCTAAGGAATGTCCGATAGTATTAAAACAAGCACCAGTGGATCATCCTCTGAAGCATATGGATTTTTCTCCTTTAACCTCTGTGACATTTTTCCTCATATATCATTGTAAATATTAGATTTTCTCAGTGGGAATCTGGGGCAGCTTGGGAAAATAAGTTTAAAATAACATGCAGAGAACTATGAGGGTTTCTGTAAGAATGAAAGAAGAACCAAAGTCAGTCACAAAGGATTACTGATCATTACCTATTCTTTAATAGGAAGAGGTTTCTAAAATACTGCAATACTGGATCTCTTACTATTTTATATACCTCACTTGTTACCTGGTATTTAGGATTATTTCATGGGTTTTTCCACATACAAGGACTTTCCTATATCTTTGTGACCCTATAACTTAGCAGGGTATTGAACTTATGGAATACACCAACAAGCATTTTAAAATGAGTAAATAAATTACTCAGGTAGCTACTGATTAGGAAAAAAAGGGATTAAGAGACACATCATTTAGAAGCACATAGCCTTATATATATTCTAATATATGAAGAATATTCTATATAATTGTGGCACAATTAAGCCAAAGTAAATAGTGCACAGAATTGAGAAGTGAATTAGGTATCACTGAGTATAAATGCATTAAAATTTTTAGTAGGGACAAATTCAAATACTATAGCTCTTTGGGTGGCAAGGCATGGTCAAGGTAGGATTTGTCTAAATCTTTAAGGATGTTTAGAATCTAGATAAGATTTTTTTTTGTTTTTGAAGGGCAAACTGTTTGAGACAGAACTGGATTCTGACATTAACTTCTTAAGCCCTTTGCAGAAACCAGATTAGTTTTGCTTATGGTTGGGTGATTCATCAGTTTAGTGCAGGTGGATTGGGATTTTTCTCATGGCTTCGCTTTCTTTTATAAACAGAGATAAATCAATGTTGCTGTTGCCTGGCATTTGACAGTAGAAACAACTTTCAGTCACTTGCACTTGCCTTGGTTCAGTTGGTGAACTTTTTTTCTGGTTCCTGATTTCTTGTCACCTCACTTCCCCGATCGACCACCGATGGGTTTCTCTTAGCAGTTTGGATTACCTAAGGGTCAAGATCATAGGTGATCTTTCTCGGTGGATGCGAGTTAGCTATGGTAAGAGTGGAGGGCAAGCTTGGGGAACCCAGACTCTGCTCTATGCTACTCTTTTCTCTATCATAATTTTTGCTGAATCTCTTCTCAGCCAACCTGACTTATAGGAGAAACAGATGAGGGCCAAGCTAGCCCTCAACTCCTTTCTAATGTGTTTTCCAGGGTTTTTCTGTACACCGAGAACCCCGGGACATACAGCACTAACGATTGCGAGAAAAGCTCCAAAGCTACATTTCCACATCCTCAAAGAAGCAGAAGGTGGAGGGAGGGCGTGAGGGGACATTCAGTGCGCATGCTCCGAGGGAAAGTAGCGCCACAGAGTCGGCCCCCAAACTTCCGGGGCAGAGAGAAGTGGGCGAGGCCAAGTCCGGAAGCTCCCTGTAGAGAGTTTAAACTCAGGAGTTGTTCCTCCTCGAAGGAGTGTCTTGAGTTCTTAGCTGGTTAACATGATGGTGTGGGAAGTCTAATCTGTGGTTGCTCTCCCTTCAACTTGACCATGGGGCTAGAAATCCACTTTGGGGAAATCTGACACCAATAAGCGGGTCTGGAGATAGTTCCTTTGCTAGCTTCTAGGTTTGAGTGATTTTTCCGCGGGCCTCCGATTAGTGCTTGCCTCCATTTGCTCCGCACACCTTTAGCCAACTTGTTTTCACCTTCCACGGTCCTGTCCACCCTCGTTATGTATGACCAGGCTCCCCGTCTGCTCAGATTGGCTGAAGGTGGCAGCACTGAGGAGCATGTGGGTCCTGGATCCTACCAGGTACTTACCTTGAAGCGGCCGGCAACAGGTAAGATATAGGAAAGGCCAGTTTTCCAGCGTCAAGCAACTAACAGCCTGCTCGGCTTCTGTGTGCTTGGGAGTTAAATAAAGTGAAATGATGCCACTTAATAAATGAAAGAAAACTTAAAGTAACTAGGGAAAATGCTACATCTAGAAGATTGGTTTTCTGTCTCTGTTGACCATATAATCCAAATCCTGTGTACTCTGTCTCTGTGTCTCTGTCTCTCTCAGTCTCAGTCTTTCATTTTTTGTAGTCCTGTGTGCCTTACACACTTTCCCTTCAATTAATCAGATATTTATTTACAAAGATGTAACTTTTATATTCTTATTTCACAGTATCACTTAAAGATAGTCGTATCAATTTTTTTTTTTTAAATTATCTGACCATCCTCTCTAGAAACACGTTTCACAAGAGGGTCTTTTCCTGCATTCTGTAAAGAAGTTACATTCTTGAGAGGTGGAGTGGGGCTGGATAATTTAAATAGCTACTTGTTTGCAGTTAGTGACTTAGGCCAAACTTTTAACAAATATTTCCAACTTACTTTCTACTTTTTCTATTCTGATGATTTTGGGGAGCCTAATACCATCCAAATAATTTTTTCCTTGGTTGACCCACATTTTCCCCTATAAATTCACTACATCTGTATTCTTTAACAGATGTCAGAATCATTTTTTCTGTTAACATGAGTTGATCAGCTTTGGGTTGGTTTAGGTTTCTTTGGGTGCAGTAAAACTTGTCAGCTGTCGATATTTTAAATCTTGAAATTTTCTGCTTTTTAGTACCCAATTTCAGTATTTTGGAAGTTTGTTATGCATATATTTTAATGCAGTTGAAGTATTAGAAACATTTACTCCCCAACAACCTACTGGTGACTAACAACTGCCCCAAGTGCTCACAGCTATGATACTTTGTGATCCTAATTGATACAATTGACCATTTTCTTCCTAGAAACACTTCTTCCCAGGTATCTTTAACAGCATCATTTCTCTTGATCTCCCTGCCCCACATTTTTTTTTTTTTTTTTTTTTTTACTGTGCCAATAATTAACTTACTGTCCCTTGGCTTTAAATCTGTGGTTCACTACTTTGCTTGTAATAATGATGCTGGACCCTGTAAACATTTCTCCTTTGCCAGTTGTAGGAGGTTCCACTTAGTGGAGGTTCCACTTAGTAGAAGTTCCTGGAGGAAGGGTCTTTTCCTCCTGGTTCCAGTGTGCTTTCTATTTTCTTGCTTCCAAGTTGCTCTTATGCGAAGAACACCCAACAATGCTCACCCCAACAAGTTTTAGTGGACACTCCAGTGGGCACCTTCCCAGACAAGGTCTTGCTGTGCCCCCAAATGGATTGCTCGTAACTTAGTAGCATCTCTATACATGGCTTCCTGTTTGTCTACCTTGACCTGCAGCGACTTGCCAAACATCTTCAGCATTCAGTGGAGACCTCTCTGTTATTCCCTTTTATTTTATGGTCACCATTGGCTAGCACAGTCATTTTAGAAGATGGAGTACCTTCAACCTGGGTGGTATCTGAGCATAGTTTCTTTTTTGACTCAGAATTCCCAGTTTTATCATCCACATCTAGGAGAAAAATATAGTCTGTTTTCCTAACAGTTTTCTCCACAACATTATCAAAGTCCTTTGCCTCCAGTGTGGTAATGAAGTCTCACTTTATTTCTTCCTTAATTTCTGGAGTTGGCTCTTATTGCAAGACTGAGGTGAGCCATTCTATACTGCTGCAACTGCCCAAGATAAGTTACTACTGTTCACTTTTTTCCTTCACATTTCTGGGAAGGATTTGTCCTTTGTATTAATAAGTAAGATTAAGTATAGAAAATTATCATCTTATTCAAAGTTACAGCTGGTAAGATTCAAATTGAGATTTTTTTTTTATTTCAAGTCATGCACTCTTTTAACTATCCCATACATCTTAATTTTAAGATCATGTCCCAGAATAGTTTTTGAAAGAATATACTAAAAGAGGTTAGAATAATTCCCATAAAAAGATATTATTATCAGGCAAATGAAATCACCTGACTGAAGATTGAGTACTGCTTCCATCAATCACTTGGAAATAGCTCTGTCAACTAAACTACAACATTTAGCACTGCTGGCATGAAAAATACAGACATATTCCCTGAATTAGGTAGGGAAGGTGGCCACATGGATTCCCATATTTACAGAATACCACACTCTTAATTTTAAACATAATCTGAAGTTAAGAAGTGTAACTGACTATAGGCAAAACTACTGGTGACTAGCCTAGAAAATATAAAAATCATGTGAAAGGAGCCAACAGGCCCACAATAAACTAAATGCCTACTACTTGGAGAATCTAAAAGTGTTCAGAGTACTAACCCTGATTTCAAAGAGTTTAATAGAAGCTCCAAGACACTCATAAGGATAAGTTGACATATGAGCTATGCTGTTGGCTAGGTAAATGTAAGTCAAACATCAATCCTTTGTTGCATTGTGTAGCTTCCCTTATTGTTTTGGAAAAGTATCTAACACATGGTTAAATAGTGAATCAGGAAATCATTTTTCCCACTCTTGTACCAATCCTTCACGGTCTTCTTTAAAGATTTTATTTTTTCTAAATACCTTTAAAATATTTATATACTGCGCATTCCATCTTTTGCTTGTTGCTTTTCTCATATCTAGAAACTCAACTGCTTCTAGAAACTCAACTGCTGAATGATTCTGATCATTCAGGTGAAAATTGAGATTTAGATCTCCAAGATGAGCTTTCTTTTGATATTAAGGCCTTTAGCATTGTTAGTTACTTTTTTGGACATATCAATCTGGATGGTCTCTGGCACCTGAAATTCCAAGTGTTTGAACTCATTATTTTCCCCACCAATAGTGGCCCCTTTACAAAAGTTCCCTATCTATTCATCTGTTGTACACTTCAAGCTTTGGAACCATTCCAGCCTCCTCTGCCTAATCATTCCTGTTGATCATTAAGACCTATCCATTCTATTTTCACAGTCTTTCTGAAATTGGTTCCCTCTTTCCATTTAACTGACTCTTAGTTCAAGTCCTCATTATTTTATTTTGAACCAAACCAATAAAATATGTATTTTCTTTTATTTCAGTCTCCAGTCCATCTTCTTGTTGTGGCTAGAGTGATCTTTCTATGATATACTTATTTATTTGTTAAAAAGAAAACAACTTTTGAAACACCAAGTTTAAAAATATAAATTCTTTAATATGATAAATAATGTTCTTCATGTTCTTATTCCTAACTTGGTCTCCCACTTAACCTTATATTTCCAGGCATCCATAATTCCTCCTATACTTGAATTACATTTCAGAAGTTCCAACTTTGCAATTTTCATAAGTTCATGCATGCTCATGTTTCTGTTTTTGTACCTGTTAATACATATTCTCAGTATACTCTGTCTTCTTCACCTGGCTAATTCCTATTATTATCATTGTAAACATTTCAGTATTCTTTTATTTTTACTTGTGCTCAGTATTTCATATGTACTTTCAGTTTATTGACAGAAGTCTATGTAATTAATTTTGTAATACTTGAATGAGGGTGTTATGAATGTTGGCTTTATTGATTCTTTGTTTCCCACTTATGTATATAGAGTATATTTATTTTGTCATTGACATAATATATTGGATACATGAGGTTGTGTGCTTGCTTTTAACAGTTTTAAATGAATTTTAGTACTTTCCCATTATTTTTACAATTATTGGGTAGATTCAGTTAGGTGCTCTGCCATGTTCTGATGACAACTGCCTCAGAACTAGCCTTGAATTTAGCTTTCTTAGTTTTCATATTTGTTTATCTTATACTACAATAATGAATGTATGACCTTAAAAATACACCTTTGTGAGGTGTAATAATGTTTGTATAGAAATTTGCACAAGATATAAATATAGACTTTTTTTGGTGAAAGGTCAATTCAAGAAATGGAACATTGTCAAACTTTCCTTTTTAGTCATAATCCTTTTACCTGCAGGTAAGCACTATTCCACAGATAAGCACTTCAGGTAAGCACTATCTTGATTTTTATAGTATTGCTTCCTTGCTTTTCTTTACGAATTATTAAACCCTTTTATTATTATGAATCATTTTTCTTTTTCCTGATACTCCTTGTTCTAAAATCTGCTTTGTTGAGTTTTAATATAGTCACTCTAGCTTTCATTGAGTGTTGGATGCATGATGCATCTTTCCCATCATTTTATTATTTAATTTTAATTTTATTTTTGAAGTACTGGTTATTGAGCATAGGGCCTTGTACATGCTAGGTAAGTGCTCTACCACCAAGCTACATCCTACTCCCCATGTCTAAATTTTATTTTGAGATGAGAGCTTGCTTAGACAGGCTGGCCTTGAATTTGATATTCTTCTGCTTTAGCCTCTTGAATAGCTGAGATCACAGGTGTGTGCCACCACACCTGGCTTTCATCCTTTTATATTTTAAGAAACTCTGTGTCTTTATGTTTTGAAAGGGTTTCTTAATTAACATTATCTAGCAGATAATATTAGGTCTTGGTTATCCTATGTGATAATCTCTGCCTCTCAATTTAAGTGTTTATAGAACTTTTACCTTTAATTTCATTATCAATATCACTGGGTTTACATTAACTCTTTTGCTATTTGTTTTCTTATTTATTTCATTTGTTCTTTTTCTACCTTTGTTGTATTAATTGAGTTTTTAAACAAGTGATTCTCTTCTTACTCCATTATTGGCTTATTTGCTACCTTTTTCTTTCTTTATTTGTTTTAAAGTGGATAATATATTTCAATTCACCCATTTCAATCAAAGGAAGGAAACATCCATAATTGAATTAATGATCAATGGACATATAGTAACCAAGTTTTATTTGTAGAAAAAATTTCATTCAGTTTATGTGCACACAGCACAAACATATTTTTAGAGATATTTTTGAGGTGCCTTTTCCCCCATTAGTCCACTTTGCTTTATATTTAAGTAGTTGCCTAGGGTTTACAATATATGTTTCTTATTCCATCTTCAAATAATGTTTCACTTCTTTGCACACAGCACATGAGCTTTTCAACAATACACTTCCCTTTTCTCCATCTCATCCTTTGGACTATTGTGATTGTACATTTACTTTTACATACACTATAATGTATATGTAATAATATGCATATGTGAAATTCAGATTATTTTAGTTTCAAATATTTATATTCAAAGTGATTAAAGGGCTGAGAAAAACATGTTGCTAACCTACCTAAAATTTTTTGTTAATCTCCAGTGTATGTTTCACTCCAGAAGTGTGATGAGTCCTTTTTATATCTTTTCATCATGTTTCTCTTTCCTCTGCCTTGTTGAATATATGAAGTGTATTTATAATAGAAACTTTTTTGTCTTCTAATTCCACCTTCAATTTTTAATCTATTTTATTAACTTTTCTTGTGTATGGGTCATATTTTTTTGGACGCTGATAGTTTGTATGATTCACTTTATATAATCTGTTTTGGTTTGTGGGTACATAAGTGTGTATTTATGTGTGCATATTGGAATGAAATCTCTATCTTGACCTCTGATTATTTACCCTGATTTGGAATGTTCCACTAGTGTGCTGGGGTTCTCAGCTCTACCAGAAATTGGTGGCCTTTTCAAAATGAACCTTGGCTTACTTTAAATAATTTTTGTTCTTGTGGTCTTTGTTACTTAAGTATCTTTTTGCCTCCACTCTCTTATTCTTTCTTTCATTTTCTTCCTTTTCTGCTGCTTTGGGACAGTCAACACCCAGAGGGTTTTGTGTACATGTGTGTGTGCTTGTGTGCTTGTGCTGAGATTTGAAACTAAAGGCCTTACATACCCTTAGTACATGCTGTACTACTGAGCTACACATTTGGCCTTAAATTAACACTTGAATTTTTTTCCCCTCTTCCCTTCAATATTGAGGATTAAACCCAGACCTTGTGCAGGCTAAGCAACCTCTCTATCATTGTGGTATATCCCCAGCCCTTTTTATTTTGTTTTATTTTATTTTTATTTTGTTTTGAGACAGTGTCTAACTGAGTTGCTTAGGCTGGATACTAGTTTGTGATCTTCCTGCCTCAGTCTCCTCAATATCTGGGTTTACAGGCATGTACCACTGACCCAGGCAACACCCACTATCATCATTCATGAAACTTTCCTAATCACCTCAATGTGGACAAAGAATTCCCTTCTTTTTAAGTTTCTGGGAATATGTTTTGTGATGCTTATCTTTGTTTTAAGTTATTTTAATATTTTTTTAATGCTTGCAAGAAATTATTATTTTTTTTAAAGGAATGATGTCTGTAGAGTAGAGGAAGGGGACTAGTGAAAAGGAGGAAGTGAGGATTTAGGGGAAGTAGTAGGAATTAAAATGGAGCAAATTATGTTAGATGCATTTATAAATATGTCAAAATGATTTCCACTATTATGTATAGCTGTATTACACTAATTAAAACATAAAAAAGATAAAAAGAAGACATCTGTATTTTTCTTTCATCTTTTATACTGTAACAATATGATCTTTTATGCCAATAGTATGATTCTATACCTAGAAGACCCAAAAAATTCCACCAGAAAACTTCTAGAACTGGTAAATGAATTAAGCAAATTAGCAGAATACAAAATCAACACCAATAAATCAAAAGCATTTCCGTATACCAGTGACAAATCCTCTGAAAGGGAAATGAGGAAAACAAACTACCCCATTTACAATAGCCTCAAAAAAAAATCAATGAAAGAGGTGAAAGACCTCTACAATGAAAACTACAGAATGCTAAAGAAAGAAATTAAAGAAGACCTCAGAAGATGGAAAGATCTCCATTGTTCTTAGATAGGCAGAAGTAATATTGTCAAAATGACCATACTACCAAAAGTACTATGTAGATTTAATGCCAATCAAAATCCCAAAGACATTCCTCATAGAAATAGAAAAAGCAGTCATGAAATGAAATTTATTTGGGAAAATAAGAGACCCAGAATAGCTAAAGCAATTCTTAGTAGGAAGAGTGAAGCAGGTAGCATCACTATTTCAGATCTTAAACTATACTATAGAGCAATAGTAACAAAAATAGCATGGTATTGGCACCAAAATAGACTGGTAGACAAATGGTACAGAATAGAGGACACAGAGAATAACCTACATCATTACAGTTATCTTATATTAGACAAAGGCACCAAAAACATGCATTGGAGAAAAGATAGCCTCTTCAACAAGTGGTGCTGGGAAAACTGAAAATCCATACACAACAAAATGAAATTAAACCCTATCTCTCACCATGCACAAAACTCAACTCAAAGTGGATCAAGGACCTAGCAATTAAACCGGAGACTCTGCATCTACTAGAAGAAAAAGTAGGGCCAAATCTCCATCATGTTGGAATAGGCTCCTACTTCCTTAATAATACTCCTATAGTGCCAGAATTAATATCAAGAATCAATAAATGGGATGGATTCAAACTAAAAAGTTTCTTAGCAAAAGAAACAATCAGTGAGGTGAATACAGACCCTACAATTTGGGAACAAATTTTTACCACATGCATGTCAGAGCACTAATCTCTAGGATATATAAAGAACTCAAAATTCTTAACACCAAAAAACCAAACAACCCAATCAATAAATGGGTTAAGAAACTGAACTCTTCTTAGAAGAAGTTATACAATTAATCAATAAAATATATGAAAAAATGTTCAACATCTCTAGCAATTAGAGAAATGCAAATCAAAACTACTCTAAGATTTCATCTCCAGTCAGAATGGCAGCTATTAAGAATACAAACAACAATAAGTGTTGGTGAGAATGTGGGGAAAAAAGGCACACTCATACAGTGCTGGTGAGATTAAAAATGGTGTAGCCAATATGGGAAGCAGTATGGAGAATCCTTGGAAAACAGGGAATGAAACCACCATTTGACCTAGCTATCCTACTCCTCGGTCTATATTCAAAGGGCTTTAAATAGCATACTACAGGGACATAGCCACATCAATGTTTATAGTAGCACAATTCACAATAGCTAAACTGTGGAACGAACCTACATGCCCTTCAATAGATGAATGGGTAAAGAAAATGTGGTGTATATATACACATGGAATATTACTCAACTTTAAAAGAGACTAAAATAATAGCATTTGCAGGTAAATGGATAGAGATGGAGAATATAATGCTAAGTGAAATTAGCCCATCCCAAAAAACCAAATGCCAAATGTTTTCTCCGATTTAAGGCTGCTGATTCATAATGTGGTGGTGGAGGTGCATGGGAGCATTAGATGAACTCTAGATAGGGCAGAGGGGAAAATGGGAGGGGGGTTCATGGAGGTACGAAAGACAGTGGAATGAGATGGACATCATTACCCTAAGTACATGTATGAATGGTGTGACTCTAGTTTGTGTACAACTGGAGATATGAAAAATTGTGCTGTATATGTGTAATATGAATTGTAATGCATTCTGCTGTCATATATAACAAATTAAAATTAAAAATGAAAAAAGCAAACAAAATCCCCTAAAATAAACAAATAATTCTTGATTCATTTGCATCTCAATACATGTGGGCCTCAAAAATGTTTAAAATAAGGTATCATCTACTATTAATTGAGATTAGTAAGATTTTATATAACTAATTATCATGATAAATTTTTAATGTAGCACACATTTTTCTTTAGGGTACCAGATTTAGTGTTCAAGTTATGAGTGCTCACTGTTAAATATAGCTGTTCTATTCTTTCCCATCTGTTTCAATGTACATATTAATTAAGTGATATTAGTTCTCTATATAGTTTATAAATTTTTTATAAATTAGTTTTTCAGTAGACTACACAAATTTGTCTGATTTTATGATTCTTTGTTCCAATGAAGTTTGCATCGTGGGTTTGTAAATCTTTGTTTAAAGTCCGGGAATCAAGAATTATTTACTGAGTACCAACTAGGTGCTAAGGCAAGGAGACAATATCAGTGCATGTGTTGAAATTCTGCTGTACATCTACTTGAAATTCTCTTTGTATAGGCTGTTTATATATGTTTATGAATATATAAGTTTATATATGCTGTATATATGTTTATATATGCTATTTTATATAAATAATATATTCTATTTCAAATAGTAAAGCAATGGTCTTCTGAGGGTAAAAATGTTTTATCAGTTAAATATAAATACCACTTTCATGCCAAACAAATACGATTAGAAGACAAAAGTCTTTTGTATTTTATTTTCTTTAGGCATTTTTTCTATTGTTCAGTAAGTCCACTCCTTTAGGTTCTTATTTTAATATATTAATAAAATCTGATATTATAATAATAACTTCTGTGGTACCCATTAATTCTAAAAATATAGTCTTAATGTTAAGAGTACTAAATGATTATATGCTTCTTTTTTTTTTCTCCAAAATCTTTGGAATCCTATTGAATCGGCCAGTGATGCAATTTTTTTTTAATAGGTGGCTGTGCACCATTTCTTTCTTCAAGTACCAGAGAAAGTACTTTTACTATTGCTTCTGACACTGAAAAAGCTGTTCCAGGTCCAGGGCACTATAATGTTTCAGAAGCTCAGGTACATTTATATTGTTATTGTCTTGTTTAATAAAGGCTCATGATTTTTTCCTCTGGTAGTCTAAAATATCATTGACATATTTTATCCTTATAATAATCTTATTTTTCTTTTCAATCTATATTTTATGATTAAAATAAAATAAAATAAATGCATTTGATGTTGATTGCCTGATTGGGTAGTATTCATTGTTCCATGTCTTCTATAAGACACAAAACATGATTACATGCTATGTGGTCCATGAGATTAGGAGATTAAGAGTCTTGAGTGGATTATGGTTCCTTGACAATATCCTGGTCAGGCTCTTGAGATTGTACAGAAACAAGAGACAGATGAGACAATGGCAATGACTTTAGCTTTGGAGTACGATACAAAAATCAATTTTCGGTCAAGTCACGTAGAAGAGGGATGGCAGTAGAGTGAAGAGGTTAGTTTTAGTGCCATATTCTAAAGCTATAGTCATGCCATTGTCTCATCTGTCTTCTGTTTTTTACAGTCTTGAGTCTATGATCAGAATATCTTCAAGGGTCTCCATTCATTTTCATAAGTGGTGGCTATAACTCCAGTATCCTCATAATCATGAATATTAACTTTTACCCTTTTGAAATTTTATTTGAATTAGCTGGCTATTAGTTGATAATTTTCTAATTCTGGAGAATGCACATATGTTCCATAATGAGCTATGTAAGATTCCTCCAGAGTGTTCTATGCATTAAACAATGTTTAAAACTAATGTAAGCATAAAATAAAACTTTGCCAATAAGTGACATAAATCTTGCTGAAAATTATCAATATGTTATTTATGAAAATAACTGATCCTAAGCAAACTTGAAAGGTTTGCCTTTTCACTGCAATATGAATGCCAACATTTAAAAAGCTCATTTCAGAAAAACGTTTCCAATAGCCTGGAAAGCATATATTCTATTCCTTCTTCACAACTTTGGAAATTCCTCTTTGATTTCTGTTTTTAAACTGCATTTTCTTGTATTGTCTTAGAGTGCTCTAAGTACAGTATATTTTAGTTTGAGTTCAAAGTTAAAACTTGACAACTCATTGTCCTCTTTTATTAGAACTGTGTTTTTAATCAAAAGTCTTAACTTTTTGGGGCTTTTTTTTTTTGGTGCTACTAGGGATTGAACTCAGGGCCTTGCACATGCTAGGTAAGCACTCTACCTCTGACCTATATCCCTAGGCTCTCCCCTTTTTTTCAGGTTGTGTTTAAAGCTGTGTGTTTATAATATTTAATACTTGTCAAATAGAAATTAATTGTAAAACATTTCTTTTAATTATTCAATAAATAATTTTCTTTCCAAATTAGTATAATATAAAAGGAGGCCGTAGTCTACAAAACCGAGAGAAACGTTTTAAGAAGTTTATTTCAGACAATCCGGGACCTGCAAGCTATGATCAGTCTTATCCTAGAACGTTAAAGATCCTGAACAGAAAAGGACTAGAAACTAAAGTGAGTCTTCAATCAGTATGTTGCTGTTTTATATTATGCTTCTAATGGCATTTCTTTTATTTAAAATGAAATAGAAAAGGTTTAAGTGATGTTAAGTACACTTAAAATGACATACTATAACCAGGTGCAGTAATTCACGCTTATATCCCAGTAGCTTAGGAGGCTGAGACAGGAGGATCCTGAGTTCAAAGATAGCCTCAGCAAAATCAAGGCACTAAGAAACTCAGTGAGACCCTGTCTGTAAAATATAAAATACGGCTGGGGATGTGGCTCAGTGGTCGAGTGCCTCTGAGTCAAATCCCCTGTAACAAAAACAAAAAAGACATTATAAAAATTAGTAAATTTGCTCATATCCATATTATAGTTTATAATTTAATGTTCAATGATGTTTATAAAGTTCAGTTTTTAAGAGTTTTATCATCTGACTTCATTTTTGCTCTTGATAAATCTGTAATCATTTCCAATGTCTTTGTTGAATTAGTAAGGTAATATTAAATACCATCTGTTTAACTATATATAGAGTATTTATATAGAAAGTATTTACCTGTATATAAAGGAGACTGTGTTCAAAGTACTGTTAATAATACAGAGAAATTAAGAACATCATTTCTGAATTAAAAAACCTTCAGGTTTAGATGGGTAGCTTCTAATTCAAGGCTAAATGAATGATCATGTCAGTAAATGTCATAGGAATTTAGAGAAGGGAGGGAATAGGAAAAGAATTGAAACTGACTTTAAAGAATGATTCACTAATGGACATAAGACCTGCCCAAATTGAACCAGGATGATGTAGAAAATTTAAACAGATGAATTTTCAGTAATTAAATTGAAGATGACATCAAAAGCCTTCCAACAAAGAAAAGCCCAGGATCAGATGAATTCTCAGCCAAGTTCTACCAGACCTATAGAGAAGAACTAACACTACTAATACCATTCTTCTTCAAATTATTCCATGAAATAGAAAAGGAGGGAACCATTCCAAACTCATTCTATGAAGCTAGTATTACCCTGGTACCAACACCAGACAAAGATACATCAAGCAAAGAAAACTTTAGACCAATATTCTTGATAAACATAGATATAAAAATTCTTAATAAAATGTTAGCAAACCACATACCAAAACACATTAAAAAGATAGTGCACCATGATCAAGTGGGTTTTATCACAGGAATGCAAGTTTGGTTCAACATATGGAAATCAATAAATGTAATTCACCACACAAATAGATTTGAAGACAAAAATTACATGGTTATCCCAATAGATGCAGAAAAAGCATTTGATAAAATATAGCATCCATTTATGTTTAATACACAAGAAAAACTAGGGATGGTAAGAACATACCTCAATATTGTAAAAGTTACATATGACAAACCAAAGGCCAACATCATTTAAAAGGAAAAAAATTGAAAGCATTACGTCTAAAAACTGGAATAAGACAGGGATACCCACTTTCACCACTTCTATTCAACATAGTCCTTGAAACTCTAGCCAAAGCAATTAAAATGAAAGAAATTAAAGGGATACAAATAGGAAAAGAAGAGCTCAAACTATCTGTTTGCTAATGACATGATCCTATATTTAGAAGACCAAAAACAACAAACTTCACTATAAAATTTGTAGAACTCATAAATGAATTCAGCAAATTAGGATACAAAATTAACACCCATAAATCATTGCATTCCTATATACCAATGATGAATCAGCTGAAAGAGAAATTAGGAAAACTATCCCATTCACAATAGCCTCAACAAAACAAAACGAAACTTGGGAATCTGGGAATCGATTTAACAAACGAGGTAAAAGACCACTACAATGAAAACTACAGGCCACTAAAGAAACAAATTGAAGAAGACCTTAGAAGAAGGAAAGATCTCCCATGTTCTTGGATAGGCTGAGTTAATATTGTCAAAATGGCCATACTAACAAAAGTGTTATACAGATTTAATGCAATTCCTATTAAAATTCCAATGACATTCTTTATAGAAATAGAAAAAGCAGTCATAAAATTTATTTGGAAAAAATAAGAGGCCCAAAATAGGCAAAAAATGAAGCAAGAGGCATCACAATACTAACCTTAAGTTATGCTACAGAGCTATAGTATTTGCACCAAAACAGGCATGAAGACCAATGCAATAGAACAGCCACAAAAATACAGTTATCTCATACTAGACAAAAGTGCCAAAAACATACACTGGATAAAAGATAGCCTCTTCAATAAATGGTGCTGGGAAAACTGAGATTCCATATGTAGTAGAATGAAATTTAATCCCTATTTCTTACTCTGCACAAAACTCAAAGTGTATCAAAGACTTTGGTATTAGATCAGAAACCCTGCACCTACAGATTATATAGACCCAACACTCCAATATGTTGGCTTAGGAACTGACTTCCTAATTGGATTCCTAAAGCATGAGAAGTAAAATAAAAAAAATCAGTAATTGGAATGGCATCAAACTAAAAAGCTTCTTTCTAGCAAAGGATACAAGAGCAGGAAGAGAGAGCCTACAGAATGGGGGAAAATCTTTGCTACTTGCACCACAGATAGAGCATTAATATCCAGGATATATAAAGAACTCAAAAAACTTAACACCAAAAATAAATAAAACAATAAATGAGCAAAGGAACTAAACAGACACTTCTCAAAAGAAGACATATGAATGGTCAACAAATATATAAAAAAGTTAAACATCTCTAGCAGTTAGAGAAATGTAAATTAAAACTACACTGAGATTTCATCTCACTCCAACCAGAATGGCAATTATCAAGAATACAAGTTACAATATATGTTGGTGAGGATGTAGGGAAAATTGCTGGTGGGGCTGCAAATTGGTGCAACTCTGGAAAACAATATGGAGATTTCTCAAAAAAAAAAAAAAAAACAAAACCCAAAAACCAAAAAACTAGGAATGAAACCACCATTTCACCCAGTTATCCCATTACTTGGTGTATATCCAAAGGAGTTAAAATGTGCATACTACAGTGACAGAGCCATATCAGTGTTTATAGCAGCACAGTTCACAATAGGTAATATATGGAACCAACCTAGATGCCCATCAACAGATGAATGGATAAAGAAATTGTGGTATATATACACAATGAATATTACTATTTCATAAAGAAGAATGAGCTCGTGCAGTGGTGCACTCTTTTAATCTCAGTGGCTTAGGACACTGAGGCAGGAGGATTGTGAGTTTAAAGCCAGCCTCAGCAACTTAGTCCCTAAGCAACTTACCAAGACCCTCTTTAAATAAAATGTAAAAATGGCTGGGGATGTGGCTCAGTGGTTAAGTGTTCCTGAGTTCAATCCCTGGTGTTAAAATAAATAAATAAAAGAAGGAAATTTTATGACATTTTTTTGGTAAATGGAAGGATATTTGGAAACTACTGTGCTAAGTGAAATAAGCTAATCCAAAACAAACAAACAAATAAATAAATAAATAGCAAATATTTTCTCTGATAGTGCAACTAAACCAAAGGGGAAGAATAGAAGTTCATTAGATTAGACCAAGGGGAATGAATGGAAGAGAGGGGGGATAGGAATAAAATATTCAATGAAAAGAATCTGACATAATTTTCCTATGTACATATATGAATATACCACAATCAATCTTACCATTGTGTGCATCTACAGGAATAGGGCCCTAATTAGAATAAGATATATTGCGTGCATTTATAATTTTATCAAATGGATTCTACTGTCTATAACTAAAAAGAACCAGTAAAAAAAAAAGGAAAAAGAAAAAAGCGTGATTCACTAAGTAGTTAAAAACATTAAGATTGATAAATCCACATGAATGAAGATATTGAGGTGTTTAGTAGCATGATATGTTCAGAACAGTACAGAGTTCTTTGGAATATTTGTAGTACAGGATTTAAGGGAAAGCAGCAGGAGGATGGGATGAGGAAGGAGATAAGGGCTGTATTTTGGAAAGCCTTGACATGCCCAAAACACCATTTGAAAGTACAACTTGGTAATTAATGTCAAAGTATCATTAAAATCACTTTTTTTTGTTTCTATTTCCATGCAATATTATATTGTAGACATTTTCCTGCTATGTAGCCTTCATAATTAGTGTATTTATACAAAACAACAGTAATATGGAGATAAATCAGGAGTTTCAAGGAATGAAGTCAGGAAATATTGAAAAATAAAAAGTTTGTTTTTCTATGGTAGGTACTATAATAGTGTTTGTGTGGCATTTTTTTTCTTTTTGAATTAATAATTTTTGCTTTACTAAGCAAGTTGCAAATGAGAGAGAATCCTCTTATGATAGCTTCAATAATAATAGTATATATTCTCATTGTTTATAATGGAGACTTGAATTCACTCCTTTAAGTTACTTTTATTAAGCAAACATTTTTGGCTTTATTTATTTATTAGGTTAATATTTAATAGTTGCCTTTTTAGAAATTTAATATTTTTTTTATTCCCTTTGTGCTTGCCTTGGAATGAAAAATCATAAAATGTTTTCCTTAAAGAAAATTTCAAGAGCACCTACAATTAACAAAAGTATTGATGTTCCTTCAATTCCTTCTTGTGGACAGTCATATGGTTATAATATTAATGAGGATGGAAGTATTATAAAACGTTTTCCACCTGCTAGTGACCCCACACTTGGGCCAGCATACTACAAACCTCAATTTGTAAGTATAATGCATTTCAGAATGAAAGTTTGGAAATTAGTTTACAATTGTATATGTTTCAATTCATGTAACACTAATTGCAGTAGAAATAGACTTCAAATTTCAGTGGCTTCATACAGTTGAATGTCTTTTTATCATGCATATGGGAATCTACATTCAGCTAGCAGAAGTGTATGAAGGATTACGAGTGAGAGGTTTCTGTAAGCAAGGCTAAAGCTCAGTCACATGGCTGTATTTTACTAACAAAGAGACTAACATAATCTCACTGTGGCAGAGTGCTTGCCTAGCATGTGTAAGGCACTGGGTTTGATCCTCAGCACCACATAAAAATAAACAGATAAGTTTTGGGGTATGATATCCTTCAAATTGTTAACAGCTTTTTTCTTAAAATATTTTTATTATAATTTATGTAATATATGAAAAACAGATGATGCAACAAAAAATGACATCAATGGGTACACGTGGCAGAGAATACAGAATTTAGAGAAGGAGTACAGGCAAAACATTAAAACAAACAACAAATTCTGAGGAAGGATGGATTTCTGATTTTCATAGTTGACACATTATATTATAAAACAGGACTGTTTTCAACAAAAATTTATGAAACACTGAGATTTAAAATATGGCTTATATACCGTAAGAGAAACTGTTATTGAGGAGGCCAGGACGTTGGACTTACTAAACCAAGTGTTTAAATCAACTATTTAAAATATGTTCAAAGAACTAAAAGAAACTATGTCTAAAGAACTAAATGAAAGTGTAAAAACAGTATATACCAAATAGTATCATTAAAGAAGAGATTGACATTATAGAGAAAGAAAACAAGTAGAAATTTTAGAATTGAAAAGATCATAATGGAAATGAAAAATTTGATACAAGAATCCAACAGCAGATTTGAACTAGTAGAGGAAATAATCAATCAACTTGAAGACAAGTAAGTTGATATTATGCAATTTGATGAACAGACAGAAAATAGGATGAAGAAGAATATACATAGTTTTAGAGACCTGTGGTTGACGTCGAACATATCAACATAGGCATAATGGGAATTCTAAGGAGAGGAGAAAGAGAGGAAAGGGAATAAAGAATATTGAAAAAATAATGCTTGAAAGCATTTCCAATATGATGAAAAACATTAATCTACTCATACAAGAAACTCAACAAACTCCTACTAGGATAAATACAAAGAGATGTGATTAGTGATTAACATTGGGAGCTACTGATGGCTGTAGTGTGTTATCTTTTTGTGACTGTGAATAAAATACTTGACAAAGAACAACTTAGAGGTGAAAAATTTTATTTTGAGTTCTCTGTTTCAGAGGTTCAATCCATGGTCAGCCATCTCCATTATGCTGGGCTTGAGGTGGTGCAGAACATCCTGGCAGAAGAGAAATGCTGGAGGAAAACTACTCACCCCATGGTAGCCAGGAGGCAGAGAAAAGGAGGAGCTGGGGATAAGAAATAATCCTCAAGGGATTATTGATCCTCATTGACCCACCTCCTTCAGGCAGGCCCCACCTGCATGCAGTTACCACACAGTAAAGTAGTCCTTTCAAGTGTTTAACCAACCAAATGGTTTAATCCACTGATTAGGTTATAGCTCTCATAATCTAATCATTTGTGCTGAACATTCTTGCATTAACACAGGAGCTTTTGGGGATACCTCATATCCAGACTACAACATGTGGGATGATATAACAAGAGAGAGAAATGAATTACAGTAGATGGGGTAGAGAGAGAAGATGGGAGGGGAGGGGAGGGGGGATAGTAGAGGATAGGAAGGGCAGCAGAATACAACAGACACTAGTATGGCAGTATGTAAAAAAGTGGATGTGGAACCGATGTGAATCTGCAATATGTATACGGGGTAAAAATGGGAGTTCATTATCTGCTTGAATCAAATGTATGAAATATGATATGTCAAGAGCTTTGTAATGTTTTGAACAACTAATAATAAATAAAAAAAGGAAAAAAAAGTGAGGGAAAATACTGTCAATCATGAATTTTATTATAACTAAAACTATTCTATGAAAATTAATGAAAACTAAGACATTCCCAAATAAGTGGAAATGGAAAGAGTTTTTTTATTTACAAGAAATACTAAAAAGTGTAAGCTGAAATGAAAAGTTATTAGCTAGTAAAGAATTAAAGAATGGTAAGATAAATACATAAGACGAAATTATTTAACTTTTGTAATGCTTTGATTCCTATTATGTAAAAAATTAGAAATGATATATTTTTTGTTCAAATATAAGTAGTAGGCGAATATTTTAAGACCTAGTGAACTTTCTACACTATGAAACTTTTGAAGAAACTGGTTACTTCTGGTAAAATAGAGTAAGGGACCTTATAAATTGTATAATAATTTTTTTCTTCCTCCTGAGAGTTCCTCCTCCTTTCTGGTAATGAGACTTTAGTCTCAAGAATATTTCACATTCCCCTTTTATGCCAGACCTGTTCTTTCAGGCCTTGACAAGCCTATCACCTGTTAATAATAACTAATTATTAGTTCTCATCAATAGACAGTGGCAAGTATCTTAGATGTTTGATTAAGATATGCCTAAGAGAACAACAGAGATCATTTTTGTAAAAATTACAGTGAACTCAATAAAAGTGCAGTGGTCCTGATATCAGGATATTCTCTACAAGGTGAAAGACAAGTTATGAGCAGCAGGCTGCCTATGTTTGTTTCTTGAGTCCATTACCTAATAGTTAATGTCTCATTGTCAAATTATTTAGCCTCTTTTTGCTTAATTGCCTTATCAGAAATATTCTTGAGAAAAACTGTAGTCTGATATACTCAAATTAGTATTTAGTTTTCACAATAGCCATAAATATTTGGCTTTAACTTAATTACTTAATTCCCTGATTCCTCTTTTTTTTTTATTGGTTATTCAAAACATTACAAAGCTTCTCGGACTATTCCCTGATTCCTCTTAACTTAAATATCAAAATATAGTTCTTGCTCTAAAATTATATTTTCTATATAAATGATTTCTTTGATTTGGAATAATGTATCATTAATTAGAAGGCCTAAATAATGCCTCCAAGCTTCTTTAGATATATAAAACTTTTTCCCCATATGACTAAGCATTACTTTGATATATAAACTAGATTTCTTTCTGGACGAATTATTCAGACAGAAAGAAGAAGAAAATTTATTACATAACATTAATATTAATAGGGCCAATTTATTAGATAACCTGTTTTAGTAATTTTGTGTCAATCTAGCTTATACTTCCTAGAATAAAAATCCAAATTTAATTTTAAAAAACACATAAAACATAGATTAACATACAAATTAAAGGCAGTTTTTAATATTCAGGAAGATTCTCAAAGTTTAATTGGAATTGAACTTTGATGTTTTGTGAAATCCCCATCTTGAACTTGAGAGAGAAATAAGAGGGTGGGTGTCGGAGCTTAGTGGCTAACAGCTTTATTTTCTTCTGTAGAATAACAGGTTTTCACAGACTGCTGCATAAGTAATACCTTAGTAATGTTAAATCTTATTCACATTTCTGATAATTCTGTGGAGCCCTTTATGTGCATTTTGAGATAATACTGTATGTGGGCTCAGTTTCTAGATGTAAATTATTAGTAGAAAATAAAGAAAATAATCTAAAAGATGAGTATTTATTGTGGTTCTTCTTTAACTGGTGAGTCACATCTACTGAAGGAATCTGATAAATCTTAAATATAGAATCAAGTGTTTTACAAAAACTTTAGCAAAATTAATTTGTAAAGATACATTGTTTTGTATAATATTTTAAGTGATAAAATTTAGTTTTTATCATTTTTCAGAAAAACCCAGGAAACTGTTAGATGTAAATTTTTTCAGGGGTGGATTTCACAAGCAAGGTTGGCAGTTAGAATTATGATACTGACATTTAGTAATGATAGCATGCTGTGAGCTACCTGTGCACGGCCTAACTGAAAAGCAGTCCATTAGTGTTTAAATTGATGCTCTTTGGGACTTCTAATTTTTCACAAATCCTACTTTCATATATAATTATGAAAGGATTGGGGGTAAAAGTTACAAAGTCCCTTCTTCATTCACTTAATTGTCAATGAGAATGGCAGTTAGTAATTCTTCTTCAAATTTTATTATAGCATTCATTTAAAATAATGCAGCTCCATGCTGAGTTTGCTTCAATTAAGTCATATTTTATTTGCTAATGACTTTCCAAGTTGACAGTGACCTTGAAGTGAGCACAGTCAACAATTCTTGACATAATAGAGGGTGTGATTTAGAATTGAGTGTATCAATTTGTTTTGCAGTTTTGTCTATATTTTTAAGAGGTTTTTAAATTAAATTTCATTTACTTGAGTACTATAGAGGTTAGTGAGTTAAGTAGTCATCAGCTCACATGGTTTAAATGAGATTAATTTTATTGTATACAAAGAAAGGATTTTGCTAAAGTCTTGAGTTTTTATGTGTGCATTTATGCACATATACATATATGCGTACATATGTGTTCTTTCTTTTGACTCTATTAATTTTATAATTGTTCAATTGCTGACCCATAAAATCTCAATAATGTAAATTCAACTGAAAAAAGCTTCTCTGACACAATTCTCCTCAAGGTCCTGAATTGCTGTGGTAAAATAGTTACTATAAAAGGTTTCCATGGGCCTGGGGGTATAGTTCAGTGTTAGAGTACTTGCTTAGCATGAAGAAAGCCTTTGATTTGATCCTTAGCACTGGGGGAAAATAGGCTTAACTTGATGTTTTAGGCTAAAAAAAAAAGATAGAAAAGGTGACTTAACACAATGCTCTTTTAAAATACTGACTTTTTTGACAAATCTGTAGACTACAGTAAATATATTAGGTATGTAGAACAATTAATGAAATTCTGCTTTATTTCTAAGTAAAAATAAAGTACAATATAAATGGCAAAAATTTTCTTTCTATCATCAAAACATCCTGTGTAGTTTTAGCAAAAAGAAAGGGCTGTGTGGTGAGGTACTGTGTCTTCAAGTTCTATTGAATGTAATAGTCTGAACGCAGCACTGACCTTATAGCAACAAGCTGCTTTTCAGCTGCTCCAATGGATGCCCTGGTTTGTGTTAGTATATGTCTACTAGTATCTGCTTCTGTGCTAAATATGTCAGGCTCTGCCACTTTTGTGTGCCATTCAGCTATGTGTTACAGCATTTGCGTCTCCAACCCTAGACCCTTTGGATGTTCATCTATCTTATTTCATTCATCATGGTTATTATTAGGATTCCCAAAACTGTGTGGTTTGTGTGTGTGTGTGTGTATGTGTGTGTGTGTGTGTGTGTGTGTATGTATAAATGTCTTACAGAGTTTGGTGGGATAGTTCTTTGAATTATTCAAGTTTTTATTCATAGCCATAGTCTTTCAAGGATCTGACAGGGAAGGGGTTAAGCTTCAGAATCATGTATTAATTAGAATACCTACTTACAATAATAATAACAACAACAATATCTTACTTTGATGTAGTGATTTATAGGACTAAATCATCCATCACTCATGGTGTTAAAACTAAATGTCCATAGTAAGGAGGGGAAAATACCTCTCTGTTCTTTATGTTATAATGCAGTAGAAGAAATCTGTAGATAATAATCTAAGCACACTGAGACCATGTACAATGCTGGAAATATTTCTAAAAGAAATAAGGATTCATCCTTTTTATTTATATAACACATCTTTCATGCTTCATTGGATTACAAGTAATGAATAAAATAATAACAACAAACAATAATGTTTGTTTATTGGTCAAGCATCAGGGTTTACCAATGTAGAGGACCTCAAGCCTTCCACACAGTTCCCTTTCCCAAGTATTTCTAGAAGTCCTCAGGGGCTGTCCCAGCCATGCTCTTGAGTAAGTCTGTTTGCACTGAGTACAGCGGTAGCTCCATCAGGCTTTTCAGTCTCTTGCTAGATGGTGCTCTCTGCTGGGCATTTCCATCAGTGTTCTCTAGCACAGCTAAAACTGCAGGATGAGCTGGGGTGAAGTGAGGAGGATAATACCCTTCTTTCCTTATACTCTAATAGAAGGGTTTAAAAGTAGCAATGCTTTTAATGAAACAGTTCTTTTAGATTTTTCTTCATAGCATAATTGCATACTGCAAGAATACAGGCATAAATCCAGTCTGTGTTCGGAGGTAAATTCAGTCAACAGAAAATTCTTAGTGTTTGGTGTTGCCACTCTTTTGACACAAATATTTTCTCACTGGGTGAAAGTCATCATGATTAACAGTGGATTAGTTTTCACATTCACCTTCTGATTGGTTTGCTCTTAGTTCCAAAACATCCCAATGTATGTCTGAATCCTACCTGGACATAGCTGGTGACTCTGTGTTTCTTTCTTTTTTTTTTATCTTTTTTTTTTTAATTGGTTGTTCAAAACATTATAAAGCTCTTGACATATCATATTTCATACATTAGATTCAAGTTGGTTATGTGTTTCTTTACCTTTATCTCTAACATCCAGCTGTGCCAGCTTCTGTTTGTATTTTGTTGTTGAATCCCATAGCATTTAGAGTGGTGTCTCTCTAACTAGAAATTGCTACCTACTCACAGTCCAGGAGTCTATCATTTTCTCCAGTTTCTGTCTTTCTGGGGATGTTAATAAGAGTTCCACTGAGGTTCCTTTCACATGTAGTAGATTCCTTTTCTGGTTCCAGTTTCTATTGTTCTGCATCTTATAGAAATTCCTTAAAGTGTCTCTCATGTGAATGATATTTTCTATTTTTAAATTTATTTTATTTTTTTAAATACATGACAGCAGAATGTATTACAATTTTTATTACATATATAGAGCACAGTTTTTCATATCTTTGTATAAAGTATGTTCATGCCAATTCATGTATTTATACATGTACTTGGTTTTTTTGCATTACAATTCTTATTACACATATATACCACAATTTTTTATATCTCTGTTTGTATATAAAGTAGGTTGACACCCAATTATTGTCTTTATACATGTACTTTGGATAATGATGTCCATCACATTCTACTATCCTTGCTAATCCCCTGCCTTCTTCCTTTCCCTCCCTCCACTCTTCCCTATCTAGAATTCATCTTTTCCTCCCATGTTCCTCCTCCCTACCCCACTATGAGTCAGCTTCCTTATATCAGAGAAAACATTCAGCATTTTTTTTTTTGGATTGGCTATCTTCACTTACCATTATCTTCTCCAATGCCATCTATTAAACTGCAAATGCCATGATTTTATTCTCTTTTATTGCTGAGTAAAATTCCATTGTGTATATATGCCACATTTTTTTTTTATCCATTCATCCACTGAAGGGCATCTAGGTTGGCTCCACAGTTTAGCTATTGTGAATTGTGCTGCTATAAGCACTGATGTGGCTGTGTCCCTGTAGTATGCTGTTTTTAAGCCCTTTGGGTATAGTTCGAGGAGATGGATAGCTGGGTCAAATGTTGGTTTTATTCCCTGATTTCCAAGGAATCTCCATACTGCTTCCATATTAGCTGCACCAATTTGCAGTCCCACCAGCAATGTATGAGTGTACCTTTTTTCCCACATCCTCACCAACACTTATTGTTGTTTGTCTTCATAATAGCTGCCATTATGAACAAATATATGAAAAAATGTTCATCATCTCTAGCAATAAGAGAAATACAAATCAGTACTACTCTATGATATTTTCTATTTTTAAGCCTGATAATTTGTGCTGATTTTATGTACTTTTGAAATGTGGGGTTGAGGTGAAGGGGTATGAGTTTGAACTGAATTTATGCTTTTTATCACTAATATTTGCCATTTACTTCATTAATATTATTTATAATGATAATTGACAGAAGTTGATTCTACTGCATTAAAATAATCAACCAGAATACTTGACACTATACATTATGTTAATTTTATTCAATATATACTGTTTTACTAATCCAAGCCTGTTTTAATGCTGTATTTTTATAAACATAGTTTTTCAAATGCATTGAAAAAAATAAACTAGAGTTTCTTTTACTGTTAGTTAAAAATGAGTTTTTTTTTTAAATTCTTATGGTTGCTTAGTGAAGTAAGTATTAGTTCAAGAGAAAATTCCTTCAAGAGATGCTACTATTATTGCATTGTACTTCATTATTTTAGTTTCTGTAGAAACCAGTTACTTTAATTTTTATGGTTCATGCATAATTTTGGCATTTATTATAGTGGAAGTAAAGGAAAAATAATGGTTGATTTCTCATGTTACAAATTATTTGGTATTAAAAAGACTAATTCTGTCCTCAAACATTAGTATAAAATGAACTAGCTATTATTTTAACTTATTGTTTACTATTTGTTACTCTTTGAAAAGTTTACATGAACGTATTTTAAAATACCAGTTAGTTAGAAATTGTCTAATATCAGTTGGTAACGTTTGCATTTTCTCTGTTTAATTAAAGTAATTTTCAATAGGCTTTTTCTTTCTCTAAATAATACAGTTCTTTCCCTTCCTTTTATTAAAGATGGGAAGCTAATTTCATTGACCTCTGTTATTTAGAGTATTGACTCTACTTCCAAGAGCACAGCTATTCAAATTGGTTGGGGATGTATGTTTGAGGCATTTCTCTGAGAATTCTGGCTGATGCAGGAATGGGATGGGGCACCTTAGTGACAACTTAGCTTGGGATCTGTCAAAGAACATAGCATTTACCAATGGAACCCTTTTGACCAAGACTACCCTTGCTTTAGATTTAGACTTAAGTAAAATTTGAACCTTGTTTCAGAACATATTTAAACTATGTCTCATCTTTACTTTTATTTTTTTTTAGGGTGTTTCCAATGCAACTTTGAAATACAAAGGCATACATTTTGGCAACTCTACAGGAAGACTAGAGTTCCCTAAAGTGTCTGGTCCTGGCCCTGGAGAGTATGATATAATCCAGTAAGTATATGTGTAAAAAATGTGTGTCTTTAATGTAGTTCTTGAGTATAAATTGATCTAATTTAGACTAGGCTATTTGGTTTAGAAAGGTAAATTAATATGAAGAACTCAAAGAAATATTATATATTGGAATAACCTATTTAAAACTATTGATTTTTTAATGAGTCAGATCCTGTGCCACTTATTTTATGTGTATTACCTTATTTAATCTTAACAAGTCTCTGTGGTTACTATTGTTATATGTATATTTTGTCAGTGAAAAATCCAGGGATCAGAGAGGATAAAGAACATATTCAAGATCATGTGGCCATTTACATGATAGAGCTGGACTTAAGTGAGGCCAGTTTGATTACACAGCTCATGTTATATCTAAGTACTAACATATACTGTGCTTAATTTTAAATTAGATGAAAAGTCAGATGATGACCCAGGGATTCCCCATGTTATCCCTAGCTCTGATCTTCATTCTTTTGACTATAAGATGGTTTTAAAAAGCATTTTCATTCACTGTGAATCAGATCTATAACATTAAGTTCAGGGTTTACAAAGATTAATTATTAAATTTCTGGTAAAATAACTTTATCTTTGTTTTATACTAGGAAGGCAAAATGATCAACCATCATATTGTTCTCATATTCTGTTATTTCTTCCTGTGATTAATTTTTAAAATGGATTCCAACTTGATTTTTGCTTACTTCTTTCTCTGAGAGCACGAGTTTTCTCCTGAAAAGACCCATAATGATTACCTATTCAATTATTTTGCTTGAAACAGTCAGACATCTCTGTGTCCCAGCAATGGACATAGCTATTTCTTTAGACTCCCCTGCTATAGTTCATTCATTGAACAAATATAGTTTGAATATTTATTGTGCATCATACTGAACCTAATAATTAAGAATAAAAGGAATAAAACAACACCTTTGTTTTTGGGAATTTATACTCTAGCCCATTGTCCTTTTTAGTTTTTTACTTTCCTAACATGAATGGGGTACATCTGTATTATTTATTTATTTATTTTTTAGTAATAACAGTGGAAACTGCTTCATTCTTTTTTTTTTTTTTTTAATTTTTTATTGTTGGCTGTTCAAAACATTACATAGTTCTTGATATATCATATTTCACAATTTGATTCAAGTGGGTTATGAGCTCCCATTTTTACCCCATATACAGATTGCAGAATCACATCAGTTACACATCCATTGATTTACATATTGCCATACTAGTGTCTGTTGTATTCTGCTGCCTTTCCTATCCTCTACTATCCCCCCTCCCCTCCCCTCCCCTCCCCTCCCCTCTTCTCTCTCTGCTCCCTCTACTGACATTCGTTTGTCCCCCTTATATTATTTTTCCCCTTCCCCTCACTTCCTCTTGTATGTACTTTTGTATAACTCTGAGGGTCTCCTTCCATTTCCATGCATTTTCCCTTCTCTCTCCCTTTCCCTCCCACCTCTCATCCCTGTTTAATGTTAATCTTCTTCTCCTGCTCTTCGACCCTACTCTGTTCTTAGTTACTCTCCTTATATCAAAGAAGACATTTGGCATTTGTTTTTTAGGGATTGGCTTGCTTCATTCTTCTTGCTAAGGATTGCTTTAGCTATTCTGGGTCTCTTATTTTTCCAGCTGAATTTCATGATTGCTTTTTCTATCTCTATGAAGAATGCCATTGGTATTTTGATTGGAATTGCATTAAATCTGTATAATGCTTTTGGAAGTATGGTCATCTTGATAATATTAATTCTGCCTATTCAAGAGCAACATAGATCTTTCCATCTTCTAAGGTCTTTTTTGACTTCTTTATTTAGAGTTCTGTAATTTTCATTTTATAGATATTTCACCTCTTTTGTTAAGTTGATTCCCAAGTATTTTTTTGAGGCTATTTTAAATGGGGTAGTTTTCCTTTCTGAGGATTTGTCACTGATATACAGAAATGCTTTTGATTTATGGGTGTTGATCTTATATCCTGCTACTTTGCTGAATTCATTTACTAGTTCTAGAAGTTTTCTGGTGGAACTTTTAGGGTCTTCTAGGTATAGAATCATATTATCAGCAAATAGTACCAATTTGATTTCTTCTTTTTTTATGTGTATCCCTTTCATTTCTTTCATCTGTCTAATTGCTCTGGCCAGTGTTTTAAGAACTATGTTAAATAGAAGTGGTGAAAGAGGGTGTCCCTGTCTTGTTCCAGTTTTTAGAGGGAATGCCTTCAATTTTTCTCCATTTAGAATGATGTTGGCCTGGGGCTTAGCATAGGTAGCCTTGAGATATGTTCCTGTTATCCCTAGTTTTTCTAGTGCTTTGAACTTAAAGGGTACTGTATTTTGTCAAATGCTTTTTCTGCGTCTATTGAGATGATCATATGATTCTTATCTTTAAGTTTATTGATACTACAGAGCAATAGTAACAAAAACAGCATGATATTGGCAGCAAAATGAACTGGTAAACCAATGGTACAGAATAGAGGACACAGAGAATAACCCACAAAATTACAATTATATTAGACAAATGTGTCAAAAACATGCATTGGAGAAAAGATAGCCTCTTCAACAAATGGTGCTGGGTAAACTGGAAATCCATATGCAACAAAATGAAATTAAGTCCCTATCTCTCACAATGCACAAAACTCAACTCAAAATGGATCAAGGACTTAGGAATAAAACTAGAGACCCTGTGTCTAACAGAAGAAAAAGTAGACCCTAATCTCCATCATGTGGGATCAGGCCCCAACTTCCTTAATAAGACTCCTTTGATGCAAGAATTAAAATAAAGAATTAATAAATGGGATGGACTCAAACTAAAAAGTTTCTTCTCAGCAAAAGAAACAATATGTGAGGTGAATAGAGAGCCTACATCTCAGGAGCAAATTTTTACTCCTCACACATCAGATAGAGCACTAATCTCTAGGGTATATAAAAAACTCAAAAAGCTAAGCACCACAAAAACAAATAACTCAATGAATAAATGGGCCAAGGACCTGAACAGACACTTCTCAGAAGATGATATACAATCAATCAACAAACATATGAAAACATGTCCATCATCACTAGCAATTGGAGAAATGAAAATCAAAACCACTCAAAGATTTCATTTCACTCCAGTCAGAATGGTAGCTATTATAAAGACAAACAACAATAAGTGTTAGTGAGGATGTGGGGAAAAAGGTACATTTATACACTGCTGGTGAGACTGCAAATTGGTGCAGCCAATATGGAAAGCAGCATGGAGATTTCTTGGAAAATTGGGAATGGAACCACCATTTGACCCAGCTATCCCTCTCCTTGGTCTATACCCAAAGGACTTAAAAACAGCATACTACAGGGAGACAGTCATATCCATGTTTATAGCAGCACAATTCACAATAGCTAAACTTTGGAACCAACCTAGATGCTCTTCAATAGATATATGGATAAAAAAGTGGCCTATATACAGAATGGAATATTACTCAGAAATGAAAGAGAATAAAATCATGGCATTTGCAGGTAAATGGATGGAGTCAGAGAAGATAATGCTAAGTGAAGTTAGCCAATCCCAAAAAACCAAATGCCCAATGTTTTTTTTTTTTTTTTTTTTTTTTTATATAGGAGGTTGATTCACAGTGGGATAGGGAGTGGGAGCAGGGGAAGAATAGAGAAACGCTATCCAGGGCAGAGGGGTTGGAGGGGAAGTGAGGGAGCATGGGGTTAGAAATGATGGTGGCATGTGATGATCATTATTATCCAAAGTACATGTATGAAGACAGGAATTGGTGTGAATGTACTTTGTATACAACCAGAAATATGAAAAATTGTGCCCTATATGTGTAATAAGAATTGAAACACATTCTGCTGCCATATATAAATTAAAAAAAATAAAAATTAAAAAAAAAACACTGGAAACTAAGCATGCATATTTGGCTTACTGTAGTTTAACTTTATTTTCATTCTTCTAAACAAGATTAGGTCTACAGAATATTTTAATTCTGATCATTCCATTTTTAACATAAACTTTTGTTGGTGGATATTTTCATCATATCCTTTTCTTCTCCCAGATTGGCTGGTTTGCCCTTTCTTCCTTCCCTGCTCTCTCATTGAGGTTTAAAGCAACACTAAAAACTGTATGAAATATTTCTGCTTGAACACTTCTTGTTATAAGGAACTCAACTACTGCTAAGGTTTTTTTGTTGTTGTTTCAGTAGTTGACAACTCTTTTTTCTTAAAATGTCCTTCTTAAATGGACCTTTGCTTAAAAGTTTTCCCTGTCAGTTCTTTTCCCCAACCTTGTCCCATTTCTATTCTCCCTGTTTTGTGATATTTCTTTCTTTGATCTTTTTTCTCTATTTCTCCTCTTCTTACATTTGTGTTTTTTTTTTACTTCTGCTTACATGCATGAATTCTTGTACATTGCATTCCTACTGCTTCAGTTATTTCATTATTTTCATAATTTGCTTGCCTTCACTGTATCTTTTTATTTGGAGTTGTCTTTGTTCCATTCTGGCAATTTACATTTTCTACTTTTTTTTTTTTTACTTTTTTTTTTGGTTGACTAAGAATTATTATGAAAGACTTGATAGAGAACCAAAGAGGAAATAATAAGGAGATAATAAGGAGTCACCTAAATGGAAAGATAAGCCTATAGGTTTCATTTTGGGAAACACACAGACCTAAATGGTATCTGACAATTCTGATATCCCGAGTTTATATTTGTGATTGATAAACACACTTGAGGTTTTGAAAACAAGTTCTTATGTTGAATTTTGAGCAAATAAAAATCATTGAAAAAGTGAGTATTTAATAGTGAGCTGGGTTGGTAAATGAACATTTAAATTAACACTGCTGAACAAAGAAAATAATGACAAGTATTATGAAATTTTAACTTTGTTTTATGTTTTTCTGTTATCTAATTTTAATCTTTATATGTTTAGTATAGTTTGTTAGAAATTTTGGATATCATATTCTTTTAAAATTCTATTTAAGAAATAGAAAAACCAGTATAGTCAGTATAGCCTGTTTTAATATAACTTTCATTCATGAGAATTGGCTATTAGTATTTCAAATTACAGATGAAGAATATGAAGCTTAGAAAAGTTAGGTGATTTACATAAGGTAATACAGCTAACAGGTGGCAATGCTAGGATTTCTATCAGACTGTCAGACTCCAAGGCTTGAACTATTATTAATCACTCCTTAGTACATTCTTGAGGTTGTTTAATTTTCAATGAAAATAAACTTCTATTTCATTCTCAAAGGTCTTTAAGTCACTTTCTAGATTGTTGTATGATATAAATATTATTTTAGAAGTAATTGAAATCCCTAGGAATTTGGAATTTTAAAGACTTTTTATGATAAATAGAATATAGGAAACTTTTGTTGATAGCTTTGTATTTTAAGTCATGATGCAACTCACATCTCATTTTGTTTTTGGAATCATTGAAACAGGTTTATAATAATGTTTTGAATTGGAAAAAGCAGAACAAACATAAAAGTACATTTTTTACAAAATTTTAAATATGTTAGTCTAATCTAACCTATTGGTCTTATCACATACTTCTAACCTAGGAAATGTTACTGTATTCTTTTTGCTTATATAAATGTTTATATGTTTAAAACTGAGAATTATAATTTTCTATCTGAATTTTCAAAAGGGAAAAGACATTATATTGTGAAAATATTAATATCAAGAAAGATCAACAGGAAAATTATTGTTCATTTATCCCAAGATTTTATGAAGTAATAATGTTGCAGGAGGAAAAAAAGGTAAGTTGAAAAGTGGCTATTTTATCTCTTTTCCAGGTTTTAATGTCACTGAACCCATTGTTGTAAGGTTAAAGTTCTCTTAGATCTACTGTGTCCTATAGCTTTATTGCTGAGTGAATATTGTAGAAAAAAAGTGTATTAAATATTTCTGCTTGAACACTTCTTGTTATGAGGAACTCAACTACTGCTAAGTTTTTTTTTTTGTTTGTTTCAGTAGTAGACAACTCTTTTTTCTTAAAATATCCTTCTTAAATGGACCTAAAATGTCCTATCTTCTGCCTACTTATTATTTTCCCTTTTACTATGATTTCTTTTTAGTTTTTCTTGCTTTTATTGTAAGGATGAATGTTCTAGGTGTGTTTGGATTTTATTTACCTTCATGGTTACTACTGTCCTTTGAAGTTACATAGGAACTACCTTCTATTTGTGAATTTATTTCATAGTATTTGTTTCTGTATCTAAAACTAAACATACTATTCTGCTTGTAGGCTTTATAGTATATAGTGAAATTTTTATCTTCTTTGTTCTGGATAGTGTGTACTTATTAACACAAGCTCATTTAGATCTACATTCCATTTTTTATAGCTATAATTCAGTTTATTCATTTGAAACATAGTAAAATAAGTCTCTGGATTTTTTCAATTTACAATTAAAGTTTAAAGATTATAGTATAAAATTTTAAAAATGTATACATTTAGACTAAAGATAAATGATTCTCTTGAAAAATCAGTAATTATTTTTATAAGAAATTTCTTCAAAATTTCCTTGGTCTTCTCTTGAATTTTAATCAGTAATGAAAAATATTGTGTATCAGAAACAAGACATAATACTAGAAAAAGATGTATCAACAAAGTAGCAATATAATCGTTTTTATAAAATCATTTTTATAAAATAACAATTGTAAATTTAAAAGCAGATAAAATATCAGTTTTAACTCAGTAGAATTTAATGAACATAATAAAAAAGGAAAAGGTGAAAAAGGTTTTGGTTTCACATTAGGATTTTATTCCTAAATAGAACTTATGTGTAATATGCTTTGAATATCAGTAAAATGTCAGTAAAAATACACAAAAATTAAAGTAAAACAATTGTTTTCTGTTATAAATTGATGTTTAATGGAAACCTTATTTATTTAGATATCTTACTGTTACATATTTTAAGAGCCTTTTTTCATAGTGGTACCCTGCATTTTTTGAAAGGAGGAGTTTTTATTAGATGATTTTCAAATTAATATTAGTGTGCCTGTACCATTGTAACCATTGCATTGTTTACTGTATTGTTAGATTTCTATAGTCTGAGATAATTTTCTTTTGAAATTGTAGAATGGTAAATTTAAACATGAAGAATTATAATTGGTAAGAATGAAGTAAACTGGACTTATTTTAAAATATTAGCATCTGTGTGTTTTTTCTCATTCTTTTTATATTAACTATAAAATCTCTACTTGATTACATTTCCTGAGCAGGGAGATTTTGCTTCTATTGTTTAGCATAGTGCCTAGAACATGAAAAGGGCTTAATCAGTATTTAATAAATGCATCATTTTTCAAACACTAACATTGTTTTATATTTAATAGTAACAAATGTTTTTAAACCATAAATATTATTTTCTGTATTTGTATAAAGATTTTTAATGTCTTAATATTTTAGTTCATTTTCAAAAAAGGAATCTCTGAATTTGATAGTCCTTTCTCATATTCAGGTACTACTCCCACTACCATTTTACTTTCCTCTTGAATTCTTTTCCATTTATAATTATTGTAAGTCAGGTCAAAATATTATCTCATTATTATCCTAGTGTATATCATTGTTATTTGCTACACATGGTAAAATGCTAGAAGATATGGATGGTAATACTAGAAATCTTGGTTTGTTGGGTGAATGGATGTGAGAAGATGTGAATGTTCTAAAGTTAAGATTTTATTGCTTCTTGGTGTGTTCTTTTCTATTGAGATCTAACATACAGCTAGATTTGACTATATTTAAGGGTAATTTACCTCCAATTATTTGTATTGAAATACATTTTTTAAAAAATGTGACTTTTCCCAGGAGTTTATGTATCTTTTTTAATTATATGTAATGTGTCTCTTACTCTAAAGATCAAATCTGTGGAAATAATTCTGACAAAATCAGAATATTGAGGTACTAAAAGGTGTTTGCAATTAAAACAGACATATAAAGTATTATTATTTTCTGCATATTTGATATAAAACTAATAAATGTTTTGTTCAAGATGATTTGTGCAACCACTTTTTTTTTTTTTTTTTAAAAAGAACGTCCTGAAACTAGAAAAATAAAATAGAAAGAATCACTTTTTCTGTAATTCCAGCTAGTCAGGATGCTGAGGCAGGATGATTACAAGTTAGAGGCTAGCCAGGGCAACTTAGTGAGACCCTGGCTCAAACTAAAAATAAATAAATAAATAGACACAGGGTCTCTGGTTTAATTCCTAGGTCCTTGATCCACTTTGAGTTAAGTTTTGTGTATGATGAGAGATAGGGGTTTAATTTCATTTTGTTGCATATGGATTTCTAGTTCTCCCAGCACCATTTGTTGAAGAGGCTGTCTTTTTTTCCCAATGTATGTTTTTGGCACCTTTGTCTAATATAACATTACTGTAATTATGTGGGTTAGTCTCTGTGTCCTCTGTTCTGTACCATTGTCCTACCAGTCTATTTTGGTGCCAATACCATGCTGTTTTGTTACTATTGCTATGTAATATAGTTTAAAGTCTGGTATAGTGATGCCACCTACTTCACTCTTCTTGCTAAGAATTGATTTAGCTATTCTGGGTCTCTTATTTTTCCAGATGAATTTCATTTCATGACTGCTTTTTCTATTTCTGTGAGGAATGCTATTGGGATTTTGATTGGCATTACATTAAATCTGTATAGTGCTTTTGGTAGTGTGGTCATTTTGGCACTATTAATTCTGCCTACCCAAGACCAATGGAAATATTTCTATCTTCTAAGGTCTTCTTTAATTTATTTCTCTAGTGTTCTTTAGTTTTTGCTGCAAAGATCTTTCACCTTCATTGTATCAGATTAGGCCACTACTTCCTTAATAAGACTCCTATAGTGCAAGAATTAAAATAAAGAATTCATAAATGGGATGGATTCAAATTAAAAAGATTCTTTTCAGCATAATAAATAGTCAGTGAGGTGAATAGAGAGCCTATAAATTTTTGCCACTTGCACATCAGATAGAGAACTAATCTCTAGGGTATATAAAGAACTAAAAATGCTAAACACCAAAATAACAAATAACCCAATCAATAAATGTGTCAAGGAACTGAACAGACACTTCTCAGAAGAGGATACACAATCAATCAACAAATATATGAAAAAATGCTCATCATCTCTAGCAATCAGAGAAATGCAAATCAAAACCACTCTCAGATACTATCTCACTCCAGTCAGAATGGCAGCTATTATGAAGACAAATAACAAGTGTTGGCGAGGATGTGGGGAAAAAGGCACACTCATACAATGCTTGTGGGACTGCAAAATGGTGCAGCCAATATGGAAAGCAGAATGGAGATTCCTTGAAAAACTGGGAATGGAACCACCATTTGAACCAGCTATCCCACCCCTTGGTCTACACCCAATGGACTTAAAAATAGCATACTACGGGAGCACAGCCACATTAATGTTTATAGCAACACAATTCACCATAGCTAAACTGTGGAACCAACTTAGATGCCCTTCAATAGATGAATGGATAAAAAATGTTGCATATATACACAATGGAATATTACTCAGCAATAAAAGAGAATAAAATCATGGCATTTTCACGTAAATGGATGGAGTTGGAGAAGATAATTCTAAATGTAGTTAGCCAATCCCCAAAATACAAATGCTGAATATTTTCTCTGATATAAGGAGACTGATTCATAGTGGGGTAGGGAGGTGGAGCATGGGAGGAATAGACAAACTCTAGATAGGGCACAGGGGTGGGAGGGAAGGGAGGGGGGACGTGTGGTTAGAAATGATGGTGGAATGTGATGGACATCATTATCCAAAGTACAAGTGTGAAGACATGAATTGGTATGAATATACTTTATATATAACCAGATATATGAAAAAATGAACTCTATTAGTATAATATGAATAGTAATGCATTTTGCTGTCATATATTAAAAAATCAATAATTAAAATAAAGAAAAAAAAGATTCTGGAATGAGATGGATGTCATTATCCTAAGTACATGTATGAAGACGTGAATGATGTGAATATACTTTGTATACAACCAGAGATATGAAAAATTGTGCTCTTTCTATATATATGAATTGTAATGCCTTCTGCTGTCTTATATAACAAATTAGAATAAATAAGTAAATAAATAAAAATTAATGAATTAAAAGGGCTGGGCATCTAGCTCAGTGGTACAGTTCTTGCCTAGCAGGTCCAATGGCCTGGATTCAGTCCACAGTACATGAAAAAAAAAGCAAATACCCTTTTATTTCTTTGCCCTATAAGTATAAAAAGAACAAGAATTTGATTTGGGTACTTGAAATAATAGGGATTTTAATGTATGTTTCATTTCTGAATGTTTTATTGACATTCAGAAATCATAATCTGTAAATTTGGATTTGAATTTTAAGGTAATGAGGGAAGATGAACTCTGCTTTTTCATAAACTACAGATTTCTTGGCTCATATAATGCTAAATGAATGTGTAATCCCAATGATTATTATGACATGGGATTACTAAACTTTCTGTTATTTTGTTATGTTCACAACCAATTCTGACTCTGTATTTTTAAGTGTAAGTAAGCAAGTAGGAAAAATCTGCTTACTAGAGATGACTTACAAGTGTTGAGTTTGAATGAGTGTTGTCATTATCGGAAGTGGTTATCACAGACATTGCTCACTGTGATGAGCAGATGATGAGTTCAGTTTTAGACAGTTGAATTTGGAGAAAAATTACTAATAGTGTCAATTTTAAAATAGAATTTATAATACAAATTTGGAATAGAGATACACATTTTTCAGTCTGTTCC